AATGAAAATGATATTTCTCTAACAATTGATATCAAAAATTTTCAAATGCATAACCTTTTTTTTTGGAAAACTTTATGCATAATTCAACAATTGGTATTGCATAACGTGTTTTAGACTTGGATACATTGAATTTCATGTGCTACTCACATGTTTGTTATTCTTTGTTGAAATTCAATTTTGTTTAAGTGTTAAGATCCTAAAAACATAATTTTATTTGGAATGCATTTATTGGGGGGGAGCTTTGATTTTTCAAATGATTTTTAAAATTTCAAATTTACTACTTACTCTCCAAAGTTATTTTGAACTTCAAAGATTGAATTATTTTTTATTTAACAAAAAAAGGGGAGAAGTGTTAGAGTAAGGGGGAGTAATAAGGGGGAGTAATTTTTCAAACTTGATTTCAAAAATGATTTTCAATTAGAAAATCTTAAAATTACTAAAATGTTTTGTTATATCAAAAAAGGGGGAGATTGTTGAAAACATTTTGATGTTTCCATATAATAAATTAAGTGTTAATGAATTTTAAGATTTTATATTGAATTTTAAGATTACATATTCGATTAAATTATTCGAATATCAAAATATTACTCCAAGTTTTTCAAATGTCAATTTCAATCCTTACTCAAGTGTAAGATTATGTTTTAATCTTAAAATATATTTTTAAAAAAATTTACAAAGAATTTCGAGCCTTAATCGAGCCAAAAATATTTTCTTTTTAAAGGACTTCAAGAAACACCAGATTGCCCAGAGGGAACAGATTCCCCCTAGGGGTACCGATTCCCCGGGAATAGATTCCCCCCCAGGGGGTACCGATTCTCCGGGAACAGATTCCCCCCAGGGGGTACCGATTCTCCGGGAACAGATTCCCCCCAGGGGGTACCCATTCCCCCCCAGGTTTTTGGCTCCGAGAGAAAACATAATGTCCAGAGGGTACTGATTCCTCCCTAGGGGGTACCGATTCCCCCTTGTGTAACGGTCGAAATATTTGAATTTTACACTGCAGGAACCGATTCCCTATGAGGGGGTACCGATTCCCCCCACGCTCCAAGTTGTTTTATTAATTGATTCTCATCCCCAAACGACTCCAAAATATCCCCCAACAACTATATACGGCTTCAAACACATTCCAAGCTATAAATACAAGTTAAGGACACTTGAAGAAGTAAGAGAACAACTATCCAAGCAATCAAACACAAGAGAAGAATTTTTCATTCTTACTTCATCTTTCTTTTGTAAATATTTTGTTCTTGTGAGCTTAATTCTTGTAAACACCTACCTTAGAGAGGTTTTATTGTTTACATTTCTTATCATTTTGTAAAGGGGAAAGGTTCTAGTTCAGCCTGAAAAACTAGGGAGTTGTAAAGTTATCTCTTTGTCCTAAAAAAAAAGAACAAATTAGTGAATTTGTTAGAAAATCCTTGGTGAGGAGCTAAGGTAGTGGACGTAGACTTTGGTTGAGAAAGTCGAACCACTATAAATTACTGTGCAATTCCCTATCTTTCAATCTCCTTACTCCCTAAACACAAAACTGTTTCGACTTCTCTTTGTAAACCATTATGGTTATCGATTCGAGCTTCCGAAAATCCCAACACAATTCCTTTTTATGGTTAGTTCAAAGTGGTGCTAGGAGACTTGTAGTTGAGGCTTTCTCTTATAGATGCCACTCTAGGCTGGAACCTATGTTTCATGTTTTCCACTTCCCAAGTCAATTCAACCAATTTTGCCAATCTAAAAGTAGCAACTAAAGTTTTGGGGTTATGAGTCTTGACTTTATGTTTAATTTCTTCTTTCACTCCACTCAGAAAACTAGAAATGAAGTACCCTTCCTCCAAAAATGGGCTATACTGCAGCATGTAAGACCTCAGCTCCTCGAACCTCTCATGATAATCTTTCACAGATTGCCTTTGGGTAAGCTTATTAAACTCTTCCACAATGTCGTTACAATTCTAATCACAAAATCTATGGCATAGGTCTGCTATGAACTCTTGCTAATTCACCTTATGTTTCTGAGCCACATAATCATCGAACCAGATCTTAGCCTTTCCCGTTAAATACATCGTAGCTAATTCCACCTTATGGGATTGAGGTACTTTAAAATTTGAAAAATACTTCTGACATTTCCTCACCCAACTTCTCGAATTTGTCCCTTAAAAATTTGGAGTTCTATTTTGGGTCTAAAAACATAGCTTGACTGAACATCCCCCCAATAGATGACTCTCCAATTTCAGTTGCATTTCCTCTCATTTTCAGTTTTTGCACATTAATAGTATCATGAGGTTGACTTTCACAAGTTTGAGGGATAATAACAGGTTTAGATGATAATATTCCAGGTTCATCTATCTTAAAAGTATATTTCTCATGCTCATTAAGAACTGCTACTAAGTACAGATGCTTACCTTCAACTTTGGTTTGATTCACAGGTGCTTGTGGTCGATCGTTTTTTGGAAAAAGTGAATCTTTTTCCTCTGCCTCCTGGCTTACCATCTGTAAGATTCTCTGTAAGTATTCTCTATTTTCAGTCATTCCCGCTTCCAATGTTTGTATCCTTGTTTCCAGCTCCTTTTTTTGACCAACCCACTAGGATGTCAGTGCCTCTTCATTCTTAATTTCCATTGATTGTTCTGGTACCTCTGTGGTTCCAGTTTTTTGCATCTTTTTTGTCTTACCCAACATGAATATAATTTCTTTGGGATCACTAAACTTGGCTCTGATTACCAATTGTCAGGGTTGAACCTAAAATTTGTGAGAAAAGGCTTAAGAAAAAGAAGAAGATTGGGTTTACAGAAAATGAATTCTCAAATTTTTTTCATTCATAGCCTCCAAACGTTCATTACAACTATATATCCATTGACGATGTGTAATTTATTTATTGACAGTTGTAATATTCTCTCTAACATATTTTAACCTTGCTCCTTACCCTAATTTTCTGCCCGTGAATCCTCCTTATCGGTTGTCCTTTCTTCAGCCCAATTGTTGCGTTATAACTCAGTTTGCCTCATCACTTGTATTGCGCCAAGAAAGTCATTTTTCCTCACTTTCCCTTTTTCATAATTTAAAATCCCTAATTCCTTTTCCAATTCCCCAATTCCATGACCATTAATCCCTAATTTTTCATCCAGGGCCATGACACATCGGTGACCTTACCTACGAACTACTGGCGATGAAACGACAACGATAAAGCAAACGACGACAGGGTTGGAGATTTAAGGGCAATTGACGCTAGGGTTTCAAATAAAAATGAGGAGGCACTGTACAAAGTTATGATCGGAAAGAGTAGAGTTTGATTTAAAGTGTAACGAGAAAATTACAAATAAAGCCATTATACTTTATAGGGTTTACAAATCTAACGCTAAATTTTCAATTCCTACAATTTGATCACCATTCGAAAATGAGGGTATACATATAAAATCCTCAAATTCTAGGTTTTTAATTTGGTGAATTTTGGTGTGTTAGAATACAAATATAAAAAAATATAAAAAATAAAACTAAAATAATATAAAAATTCTAGAGTATGTAATTTTTTAATTTGGGATTAAGAATTGGGAACTGGTAATGTGTTTTAGTAAACTAATATAAAAAATAAATTAAAATAAATATATATATTATGTTTTTTTTAATATGATAAATGATAATAGTTATAATAAAACTTAAAAATTATAGAGAGTTAATACTACAATCAATCCTAAAATTTATTAGGATTTATAAAGTTATTCTTATTCTTCCAAATATTATAATTTAATTTTCAATTTTGGATTTTAAAGATTTTTTTTATTCAATTCATTTAAACTAAACTTCTAGCCCCGGATTTGGGATGTGATAATATATAGTTTCATAAGATTCATGAATTACAAATAATGAAGAACATCATCGATGACTACGACGACAAATAGGGATGACGGTTGAAACAAATCGAAATCAACCCGAATTGACCCAAAAATCTAAAGGTTGACTCGAACCAAAACCAACCTGAATTGACCCGAAAATCTAAAGGTTGTCCCAAACAGAAACAAACCGACTACTAACCTAACCCAAAAATCAATCGATCCGATATTGACTCGACCTGAAAACCAACCGATCCGACTTTTACCCGACCCGAATTAAATTTCCATAGATCCGAATCAAAATCGAACTCGAAATGACCCAAATCAAGGCTCAACCCGAAATAACCCGATCAGAACATGATTCGAATGACCCGTTTGTCACCTCTAATGACAGGTGAACGGTGGTCAGAGACTTGGGATTGCAAAGTTCATCATAATGATTAATAAATCTAGAGATCTTGTTCTTAACATATTTAAGTTATTAATATAAACAAACTTATCAAACAATGCCGTTTAACTCGGTCGGTAGAATGCAAGGCTCTTAAACTTGTGGTCGTGTGTTTCGAGCCCCACGGTGGGCGTCCAATGTTTGCTTTTTTTTGTTTGTCTTTCGACATTTCTCATAATTCAGAAAGCTAATGCTTTATATATGCAGCCTATATTAATCACGAAAAGAAATCTTATTCCTTATTTCTCGAATATTTTTTTATCTACCACTAATATTTAGTAATCTTCAATAATTATGAACTACACCAGAAAGCTTAGGCATTAAGCATTTACTTTAATTGAATTTTTTTTGCAATTATTAAGGGATTTGGTTAACGAAATGAAACTTAATCATAAAAAAATCAAGTCATTTGTTAAATATTAAGCACTATACTATTACTGTCCTCTAGCTAAGGAATTTTTAAAAGTAAAAGACAGTAAACCATGAAAACAATACCTTTTATTTTTCACCACATCTGCAAAATTGATGTTCAATATCAATATAAACATATCTTAAAACGTTTAAACTTTTATATTTTAAACCAATAAAAGGGTAATACAACCAAAGTCTGTCTAACTTAGTCAGTAGAGCACAATGCTGTTAACGTGCTCGAACCTTAATTTTTGTTTTTTTTGCTACTGCCAGCCAATTGCAACACTTGCAACAGTAAATGCAGGGGTGTTTTTTTTTTGTTTGGGGGGGGGGGGGAGAATGTGTTCCATAAACATTGAACCATTGATCCTTGGAAAAACTAAAGTAAAAGGCGAGTACTAGGCACACTTCTTACCTTCTAAGAAGAGTTAACCCGGGCAATACAAGTTTCAGAAATTAAGCCAAATGTGGTGAAAATCCAAACATAACCAGTTAATTTATACTTGTCTGTCATGATGGAAGATGATTTAGGGGTTGAAGGGAAGGAATTGGGAAAGAACAGAGAAGGGTTAGGGATTTGGAGTAATTTGGGGAATTGAAAAATCAGAATTCGGAAAGTGGGAAATGGAGTTATTTAGTTAAAAGAAAGATTATGAAGCAACCGGCAGTCTTTTGATTAATGAGGAGAAGATGGATCAGGTTATGAAGCAGGGAACGGATCAAGGAGTGAAGATAAACCTAGATCAGTTCATAGCGGGCCATAATCATGAAGCATCCCATTAAGCTTGATGATACAACCAATTCCAGCTGAATTATATTCAGGTGCACTAGAAGACAAACTGGGACACCTGTAATCAAATAATTGGTCAAGTCCTTGTATTAAACTTTATATAGGAACAGTTGTAACAATAACAAGAGAAGATTATGCATTTTGATTAATTCAATTCCTACCTTTTCCTTCAAACTACTTTTCTCTTAAATCTACTTCTTATTCTTCAAATTCTCTTTTGTTTCTTCAACCTCTCTTCAATTCTCCTTTTATTTCCTGCAATTTCATAGCAAGATCATGACATTGTCCTTTAAAGAACTTAGCTTCTTGAAAGAGTTAACCCTTGGCTTATTAGAATTTAAATTAATTTGTTAAAAAATTTGAGTTAATATCTAATAGAGAAACTTATGGACTAGACCAAAGGGCAAAGGCTTTAACTATTCACTTAATTCAGATTTAATTGCAAGGATTAAGGGGTTTGTTTGATAGAATGGGCAAGTTCTTACCAGAAGATCGTCATTGTTGAAGTACCTAAAGATTTAAGCAGCCTAACATCTTACCAGAAGGAAAGCTCAAAAACCATTTCTTTTTTTTTTTTTAAAAAGAGTAAATTATGCAAATAAATAAGACCTTTTATTTTCCATCATACATGCATGCTAATAACTTTTTCCCTTTATTTCCCTTGTTTTCCTGTTAACTGATGCAAGATTTATATGCGAAAAACATAATCAACGAAAGATTAATACATGGTTTGACATTAGTTCTCTATGTCCGCAGATGAGAAAGAATTACTATCGCAAACACGAAATTGGAAGTGTTGAAAGAAAATTATAAGCAAAAAACTTAATCAACGTGAGATTAATAATGTGGTTCAACTCTGGATAAGAAAAACTAATTATAAAACAATGTGTGGTCTCGGTTTTTTATGCTCCCAGTGTGTTTAATTGAATCCATCGCAACCCATTATTATATCTCTCATAATTCAAGAAGCTAATGCTTACTCTGTATGTATACAACCTATTACTTAATCATCAAAATTCCTTATTTATCGAATATCAGAATTCAAACTTATTGCTAATTAAAACACGAATTAATATCAAATAGTGAAACTTATGAACAAGGCCTAAGAGTGGGGCATTGACAATTCACTTACTGAAATTTGACTGCAATGATTAAGGGGTTTGTTTGATGGAATAAAACTACAGAATCAATTTTAGAAATACCTAAAACACTAAACTATATCCTAGAAAGCTGATGAACCTTTAAAAGAAAAAGGAAGTAAATCATGCAAAGAAGAGGGTTATATCTTTCACCATACCTACATGTTATAAGATTCTTTCCTCTCGTTTTCATGGTAGCTGAATGGCACGTGGAGCTGCAAAATTCATCTTGTTCCCCCCCCCTTTTTCCAGTACAAGTGGTAATGGGCACCTGCAATTCTATTGTCCAGAATTTTGGAGTCTACAGAGCTGTTAAATTAGCAATCAAAAACAGGTAATTAAAAATAAAAACTAAAGATTTAAACCATTCCTGAAAAGCTCAGAAAAAGCAGTAAATAAAGCGATTATCTTAAGCATTGAAACCCAGAAATCATACAGTACAACCCCGAATCCCATCCAACGAAAAAGACGAAAATGATGAACAAACCCCAATAGATTACCTCTGCTCTCGTCATTTTAGTTACTCTAACTATACCATTCTTCTTCCCATAGTCAAGATTGGAATAGTCGGTTCAAACGTATCTTTCCCACAACTCCAACCCCATTTCCACCTATACAACCGTCGGTCGTCGATACTTGTTCGATGTTTAGCTGGTACGTGGGCCCTGCTTTGTAGAGTGCCGTTTCAGGTTTCAAACCTTTGCCAATTTGCCACCACGCCGACCCCTAACGATAACTTTGGACCGTTAGCCCATGCGGGCTTTTGAAAGAATGAAAAAGATTTAAATATGTTAGAGGGTCTTGTACTATTTAAAACTTTAAAATTGTCTTTATATTTTATTTTTATATTATTTGAAAATTTCATTTTTTAATTTTAATTTTTTTCAATTTTAAATTTTAGTTATTAATCTGAAAATTATATAAAAAGGAAAAATAAATTTTTAGTCACCTATATTTGTAGTTTTTAATGACTTGACAGGTAAACTTAAAAATAAATATAAATATGATTAATTGAATAATATATTTTTTAATTATCTTCTAAATAGAAAGTTAATAAAATTTATAAAAGACTAAAAAATTATTTTACTTTTTATAGTCTCCAAATTAGAAATAACAGTGCAATTAAAGAAAAATTAAGGGAAATTAGGATTTTTAAAGCAAGAATAGTACAAGACCCCAATTTTAAAAATAGAGACTAAATATTAATTTGCTAAATACTACATGGACCTCAGGCATATTTAAATCATAAAAAACACGTTCACCCTCAACAACGGCAGTTGACGGAGACGTCGGTAGATATATGTTAACGTTACAATTATATATTTAAAAAATCTTTTCAATATAATTTTTATATTTATTATTCTCCCTTTTTTGTGTTTTTCTTCTCTCTCCCTTTGTTTCAACGGGCGAGGATTTTTCGATTTTTCGAAACAAAGAAGAAACGTTGGAGTTCTTTTGAACAAAGAAACGTTTTAATTTTTGTTTCCTTGTTTGGCTTGAAAGAGAAGGAATTTTTTTTGAAGGAGCTGGAGATTGTTTCCCGCTACTCAGGTGTGTTGAAGTTTGTTGAATTAAAAAATCTTCTGAAAATCCTTTTTTTTTCCTTTGCGGGTTGCTGATTTTCTTATTTATTTTTTTCACTGTTTTGATCATGTTCCTTGAACTTCACGTGCCTTGGATTCGTTAAAAGTTCCTTTGAGATTTTTGTACCTCTTCTCTTTGGGTTTTAAACCCTATAATTATGTTTAAAATGATGTGGGATTTTTATGTTTTTTGATCTGATTAATGAATTGCAAGATCTGGGATTTTTCTTTTTATGTGATTGACGGTGGTGAGATTGGGGATTTTGGTTAAAAGATGGGATTTTGAGCGATTGGATTGGTCATTTTATATAGGTTTAAGCTCTTTTTTTTATTAATTTGGTGTTGATTATAATTTCTGGGTTTTGAGATCATTGTAGAAGGATATGGCTGAGTTGAAGATAGACGAACGTTGTGTTGAGAATAAACAATTACCCACCGCATCAAGTTCTTCTGTATCAGAAGGCGGTGTCAGTGCAAATGTAAAGTCCCCAGCTATATCCAGTCCAGCACCATCATCACCAAATCATCGGTACTGTCCCTTAATAACATAACTTCTTTAGCTTTCCTTTATTCAGTTTTTCTTGTAGCTCAACTCGTTTCACAATGCGTGCTTATTTGAATCACAATTTGGGTTGGATTGTTATGTTAAATGTAACCTTTTGGTTCTGCTGATTTTGCTTTTACTTATACACACTTTTGTTTCTGGTCGAGTTCATTGTTGTAGATTACGTTTAGCCGATCCTTTCAGTGGCCGGACTTGCTGTTTAACCGATTTTTATTGAGTTTTATTACCTTGAAAGCTGAGAGTAATTGTTCATACTGATTTTTCAGGAGGACCACTGGCCCTATTAGACGAGCAAAAGGTGGCTGGACGCCAGAGGAGGTACAGTGCACCTTTCTATATTGATGCTATTATTTTGGTAGAAGTTGTATCAATGTTTACTGGTTACTCATGTTCATTCTTTGCAACTGGTGCCTTTCTTTAACATCGTTTTCTGTTTACATCCATTGCAGGATGAGACATTAAGAAATGCTGTTGCAGCTTTTAAGGGGAAGAGCTGGAAAAAAATAGGTTATCCTCACAATCTGCTCTCTCTATTAACTGTGTTTATCGACTGCCCTTCGTTTTCCAATGTGACAGACTTGACATTTGATTTTCTCAGACCAAAAACAAAATTAGGGTCATGAATCCTTTTGTGGTAATTGTTAATAACAGTCTTGATATTCGAATATGGTTGCGCAGCCGAATTTTTTCCTGATAGATCAGAAGTTCAGTGTCTACATAGATGGCAGAAGGTCCTAAATCCAGATCTTGTTAAAGGACCTTGGACTCAAGAGGTATGCATTTTATGTCATTCTTCTATGCTCTATTATGGTTGCAGTTCACAAAACCAACACAATTTTCTGTGGCTTCCCCTTCCAGGAGGATGATAAAATTGTTGAGCTTGTATCAAAATATGGGCCCACAAAATGGTCCGTTATTGCCAAATCTTTGCCCGGTCGGATAGGGAAACAATGCCGCGAGAGGTAATTTCACTTTTTACTTCTTTTCATTTGCGTTTAAGAGTTCTCAAAAGTGCCGAAGGTTTTGATATTACTTTCCTCCATTTCAATGATGCCTGCGTTTTCTGTTAATGTTGCTATTGATGTTGCTGATTTTTTTTAACATGCTAATTGATGTTTCCCAGATGGCACAATCATTTGAATCCCGATATAAAAAAGGATGCTTGGACGTTAGAGGAGGAATTGGCCCTCATGAATGCCCACTGGATATATGGGAACAAGTGGGCTGAAATAGCTAAAGTTTTACCCGGAAGGTAGTTTCTTCATGGTTTATAACATTTGTTACATGGTTCAGATTCAAAAGCTTACTCCATCTTACTTGAAAAAAGAATTGTCGTAAATTACTCTGAAATCTCTTTTGACATGTTAATGATTTTTGTTTATGCAGAACTGATAATGCCATAAAGAATCACTGGAATAGTTCCATGAAGAAGAAGTTAGATTTCTACTTGGCTACAGGGAAGCTTCCTCCTGTTGTGAAGATTGTTCTTAAAAATGAGAATAAGGATCTCGATACACCTGCTGCAACAAAAAAATTGCTTGTTTATTCGAAAAGAGAATTGGATTCAACTGTTCAAACGTCTTCAGGAACTACGGATACATGTAAGCCAGAGGAAGATGGAAAAGATCAGTTGGAATACTGTACTCCAGTTCATGATATGGCGGCTTCATCAAGTGTTGTTCCAAGTGAATCAGTTGATACTGAAAGTGCAGAATGCAGGATTCATTCATTTGATGCAAATCCTTGCTGCTGTAACTCAGAGTCAATGGCGAAGTTCGAGAGTCGACGAATCAGCTCTGGTGCTGTTGTCGAAGACAAAGATGTTGGAGTGCAACTACAGTGTGATACTCCGACGTATGGTCCTTTATGTTATGAGCCACCTATGTTACAAGTTGGCTCTTCTTTAGATTCAGATCATCTAAAGAAGAAAGGCATGCAGCATGAGGTGAGCTCTACTCCTATCATGTCACCCGTAAGTTTCTTCACTCCGCCTTGTGTGAAGGGCAGTGGTTTTGGTGCTCGAAGTCCCGAGTCTATTCTTAGAATTGCTGCTAAGACCTTCCCGAATACGCCTTCTATATTTCGAAAGAGCAAAACCAGTCCAAATAAAATAGGAAAACCGAATGAGGAAACTGCCAAAAATAGGATTCAATTACCTGGTGCACAGGAAAGAACTGAAAATAGTCAGGAACAGGCTCGATTTCGTGATGGGATTTCGTGCGAAAGTCCAACTTTTCAAAGTAATAGCAACATTGGTCTGATTTGTACCGCATTTAATGCATCGCCTCCATATCGGTTAAGATCTAAAAGAACTGCTGTTTTTAAGTCCGTGGAGAGACAACTTGAGTTCACATTTGATAAGGAGAGGCGTGATGAAAATACAAAATCATTGGATGTATCAGTGAATGGTAGTTCTCCTATCGAAGATTGCTTGCGTGCAAAGAAGATGGCGGTCACATAGGATTATACTGTAAATTATGGTATTCCATTTCCCACTTCAAAACCACAAGAAGTACAGAGATTCAATTTTTTTTTCTGTGATTTTCCACATTGAAAGTAAGTTGTGTTTACGCACATCAGATGTTTCATCAAGCATTTCCCTCCCAAACTTTGCTTTTACAATAAGATTGAACTATGGGTAGTAAAGCTTTTTGATTTAACACATTTCCATTTGTTTCGTTCTCTTTAAGTTGGTTATGTGTCTCCCCAGGTGCAGAATCCAAACCAAGGAAGCCAGTTGGCTCCAGATTTTGTTATCCCAGACACCGTGAAACGAGTATTGCCCGACAAACTACACAAAAAATGGCCCTTTTTCATGATAGAAGTGCCAATTCAGATTCCAGCTAGAATGAAGCGCTTGAGTGACTCATACACCCTAAACCCTCATCAGAATTAAAGGCTAAAGCGAGGCCAACCCGTCCACGACCATCTGAACAACCAACCAAAATCCGCAACAATCCCAGCCATTTAAAATCATAAAAGCAAACACATGAGGAGTTTAAATAGTTGTAGCCATCGACTAGAACCAGAAAAATGTTTAAGGGACGAGCTGCTGTCATGTGAAGTTTTAAACCGTTTACAACAAACTACATGCCCATAAAAAGTTGACAAAGATATTTTACTACTTTACATCGACTAAGGAAGCTCATTTAAGATCCAATACTTTCTCTTTAGAAACCATTTATCTCCCATCAAGTGTACCACAAGATGTTCAACTGAAGACTCGTCGTCCTGGGTCAAGGTATTCAAGCACTTATGCGCAGAGGATTCGTTCTTCAGTTCAACTATACATCCAGGAAAAGGCAAAACAGCGGAAGCTAATGGCAAAATCTGCCACACTGAATACGGGTCGAAAACCTTAGCAGCTGCACAAAGAGATAAAAATGGCAATGCTTTCTGTAAACACTAATTTTTTCCATTTTGTTTTTATTATTATTATTAAAATTATTATTATTATTAATATTATATATATTATATTATTATTAAATTATTATTACAAACAGGCTAAAATCGGGGCCCAATTACAAATATGAAAGCCCAACCAGATAGCCCAACTAAAACCCTAAACCAATTTAGGGTTTCAGCTAGGGTTTCTAAACCCTAGCACTACTGCCGCCGCCTCCAAGAACTCCCAACAGCCGCCTCTGCCGACACTTCCCAAGCCAGATGGTCCAACCGGCTGCTGTCGACGCCTTGCTGCCACACCGCCGCCTTAAGGAACACTCCAGAATGCCAGATGACAACCAACAACCATCCCTACCATGAGTCACCAGCCTAGCTTTGGTGACTCACCGAGGTTTTCCCTCTCAAGACCGGTCCAAACAGAACTCTGTGGTGGCTATAAAAGCCACCGCATCCTGCAAAAACACAATGGAGGGCCACGGCAGAAGACAACGAACGGAGAACAGAAACAACGAGTAAACAAAGAGCAATAAACAAACACCCACATCCAACAGTAAGCCAAAACCAGAAAACAAAGAGAGAAAAACCGAGATATTTACCTCATCAGAGCCTCCCTACGCCGTTGAAACCGAAACATCGGAGGTAGATCTACGTGTTTTGGTAAGATTTTAGGCTAAAACAACTTTAGATTTGAGTATAGAAAAATAGAGGCTTCGATTTGGGGTGGGTTTTGTAATTTCCGGCCACCGAATACGGTGGCCGGCGACGAAATTAACGGAGGTGAACGGCTGCCGGCTGGTGCCGCTTCTCTCGTTTTAGAGAGAAGCTAGAGAGAACTCTGGCTCTCTCAGCTTTGAGAGAGAAGAGAAAGGAAGAAATGAGAGAATGGCCCGTAGGGCCAGCCGGTTTTGGGTATTTATACCCCTTCCCAAACGGCGCCGTTTTGAGAGGGGTATATCTGTAATTTCGTGTATGGAAATTTATTTTAATATGATATTCAAATTTAAGATAATTTTATTTTAGTCACTAATTTTAATACTTTAAGTTAATTACTAGTTTTTTTATTTATAGTTTTAATTTCATTATTTTTAATTATTGTTTTATATTTTATTATTATTATTATTATGTATAAATATATATATATATAATAAATAATATATGTTTATTTATTTTTATAAAAATCCTATTTATTTAATTTTATAAATTACTTTTAAGAAATAATCATATTTTGATATTTATTTATTTTATATCGAAGAAAAGAGTTGTCTTAAAGCACCTAGAAGCTCTTTTCTGATATTTCTAAATAATTAGATATCTCTTATATTTATATATTTTTATAAAATTATAAATTTGAAATAAAAAAATATTATAAGTTAAATATATCTTTGAATTCTTAAAATCTATTATTAGAGACAATTCATAATTAAAAAGTACCAATTTTGGGCGTTGTAGGGGTGCTAATCCTTCCCTAAACGTAACCGACCACGAGTCCCTTTTTATTATTAAAAAGAACAAATTTTTGGTTAAAACGCAGATCAGTTTATCTTTTAATTGATGTTTTCTTAAAAACTCTTTTAAAGGATGATTTTTAGGTATTCGACCTACCTGACCCAAAAGGCCAATGGCGACTCCCAAATTATTTTAAAAACCATTTATTCACATCACTTTTCCCGCCAAGTAAAATTTCGTGCCCGGACGAAAACCGGTTACGACAGCTTGGCGACTCCACTGGGGATCAGTCAAGCTTTTAAAAATCAATTATAAATTGTCTCTATTAATTATAAATTAAAATTCAGATATTTAATTTATAATTCTTTCTTTTCAAATTTTTTATATACTTATTATTTTCATAGTATTTATATATATTATTAATATTTCATTTTACTTGCAAGTATTTTATTTCATTATTTATTTTTCTGTCAGAGGTTTGAACATTTCTCCTCACACGCAACACTTGCATTGCATAACATAAAGCTCTATAATTGAGTTTTGTCCCTTTTAAGTGGGAGTGAAAGCGACGTCTTCGTGAGAATTTATTCTCCGTGTCAGACTTAGCAAGTAACTTTCGGGGTTCATATGCTCTATGTCTTCGTAAGAATTTATTCTCCATGTCAGGCATAGAGAAATGTGTCCCCTCGAATTGAACTCGATCTGTTTAGGTTTGTAATGGACTAGGATTGAGGGTTGACAGCCCAAAGGGGCATCAACAAGGATTCGAGTACCTTTACTCCTAGAACTGAAATTCTGCATATAATAAACCCTAGAAATTCACCTGATCTAAGACAGTACTGAACCTCTGTTCATAGGTGTACAAAAAGGAGAAATAAGTTTTAATTTTTTGTCTTTTAATAAATGCATGGAACTAGAAAGCATGAGGTTAAGATTTATACCTTGATAAATAGAAATTTTCTTTTCATTAATTGGTACTAATTATTCTATTTTTGTTTTATTATTTTTCCATGCATGTTACATTGTTCTAATTTGTTTATATTCTTTTGTCTGCATTACATAATCATGACATAATCAAAAAGGTGTTGACTTGAAAGACTGTTCATCAAATTGGAAAGAAATCGTAAATGGACAAAAAGTTTTATGATCAAACAAAATATGATGCGGCCAAGGAAAGACATCCTGAGGAAACTCCGAGGATGGAAGCGAGCAATGCACACAGAGATCCTGTTATATTAATACCAAAAGTATTACACAAAGATCCTACCAGATTGATACCAAAAGCAGTCTATGGTAAGAACATCAGTCAGGGCATTCAGAGTAGTGGAGGTTTTTATGAAGCTCAAGCATGTTATTTGAAGGACTTGAACGACCAAAATAAGAAATTGAGCACAGAAATGAAAACCATGCATGAAGATTTTCAGAAGATCAGTCAAACCTTTCAAAATGTTGGCCTAGGAAGTACCCCAGAAGAGTGGATAACAGGGGTCACCAAGCTGAAAAAGAGCTGCAACATATATGAGGATCTTGTTCAAGAACTTCTTGGACAGAAAAGTTCTCTTACAAGGGAAAATGAGCAACTCCGAGAAATGACACAGAAGATGAAAGAGAATGTCATGGAAGAAGTTGCAGTCCAGACAAGCAATATGGTTCTTAAGTAATAGATTTCGCTGATTTTACAAGGAGATGAAGCAGACTGAAGACTCAACTTTTTGAGCATGAATGGAAACTAACTGGGCTTTGGAGAAGTTAGAAGTAAAAGATATCCTTATATATAAAAGTTTTGTTTGATGTACCGAAACTTTTGTGTTCAATGAAATATGTTCTAAGATGATCACTCTTGAGTAACACCTTTTCATACATACATTTGCATTTTGCATCTTTGCATTTTTTATTTTGCAATTATACTTTTACATTACACAATTTACATTCCCATTTTTTACATTTTTGACATTTACATTTCAGTTTTATTTAAATATTGTTATATGCATATAAATAATTTATGAAATGTTTTATAAAATTAAAATCGAGACCATTCATTCATTAAAAGAGGGATTTCAACCGAAGTGATCTTGGTTCTTACTTGAAGCAAAAACGCTTAGCACGACACAAGGAAAATGTATAAAGAAACTGAGGATAGGCTAGCCAAATTTGAGATAGAGCAGAAAGAGACGCAAGAAGAATTAAGGAGCAAGTTGGTACAAGTTGAAACTAATATCACAAATTCTCAGATCAATCTACTGAACAAGTTGGAAGAAATGATTGGGAAACATTTGACCACTGGGAAAAGTCTTGTTGAAAACCCCACACATCCTCTTGGTGTTACATCTATTCACATTCCGGGGCACACTTCTGCGCATCAGGAAACCCAAGCACCAGTTCAATTCAATGTTAAAGACCCACAATATCAGGCTGGAGTTTTGTTCCCCACAGAATGTCTTACTGCTTCTGGGTTAAAGCTAAATGAATTTTGTACTGATAATGAGATCTTTGACCCAAATGAATTAGTTGAGAAGAGAAAACTCATCCAACGTCTGAAAAATATAGAAGAGGTCATAAAATCAAAAGAGACAACTAAGTCATTTTGTGGGTTTGACGCCAAAGAACTAAGTTTGGTCACTGACCTAGTTCTCCTGCCAAAGTTTAAGGTTCCATATTTCGAGAAGTATAATGGGACCACATGCCCTTCATCTCATATCACCATGTATTGTCGTCGCATGACTGGCTATGTGGAGAATGAAAAATTGTTGATCCACAGTTTTCAAGATAGTTTATCTGGACCTGCATCCAAATGGTATAATCAGCTAAAACGTACTCAAATACGTTCTTGGAAAGACTTAGCTCAAGCCTTTTTGGGTCAATACAAGCACATGACTGATATGGCCCCTGATCGAATAATGTTGCAAAACATGAATATGAAGTGCAACGAGAACTTTCGACAATATTCACAACGATGGAGAGACGTTGCTTCTCAAGTGCATCCACCATTAACAGAAAGGGAATTCACTACTTTGTTCATCAATACATTAAAATTTCCCTATATCAATCACATGATAGGGACTGCCACTAATAATTTCTCTGACATCGTCATGTGTGGAGAAATGATCAAAATAACTATCAAGAATGGCAGGATAAGAGGCTTTGATAGTACTGACGTCGAGAGAAAATCTGAGATCAATACAGTGAGGTCTTATTCAACTAATCATGGGACCAAATATTATAGAATGACTCGAGAGAAAGCTCATATTGATGAAATTCCAATGACATATGAGGAATTGCTCCCATTACTGGTTCATCATAATCTTGTGACTCCAGTTCAATCTAAACCAAAAAATCCCCCATTTCCTGAAAGGTATGAAGTTAATGCAACATGTATCTACCACAAGGGAAGTACGGGGCATACTACTGAGAATTGTGGGGCATTAAAACGCAAGGTTCAGAATTTAATTGAATCAGGGGCATGGACCTTCGAGGAGTAATGTGACATGATAAATAAATAAGTGGAAGTGTTATC